CATTCATTTTGCTAAAGTTTTCACTAGAAATAAGACAAAAAAATTAAAAATAATAATTTAATACTGTATTTTTTAGGGTATAAGACGCACCAATATTTTGAAGAGGTAAATTAAAAAAGAAGTTTTTGCACTCTGCAGATCTCCCAAACCCTCTGCATGCCTCATTTGTTCTGTGGAAAATGAGGCATGCAGATAATTTGAGAGACCTGCAAGTGCTCCTGGGGGCTGGAGGGGGGGGGCAAAAATGAGGAAAACCAGCCAGTTTTTCATGAAAATGGGTCCATTTTTTGCCCATTTAAAAGGGCATGCATAGCATTTAGGAAGCTTGTAGAGTGTTCTTGCAGGCTTGGGTGGGCAAAAACAAGCAAAAAAACAGCCATTTTTTGTTAGTTTTTGCCCTCTCCAGCCCCCAGGAGCACTTTGCAGGCCTCCTAAACTCTCTGCACATCCATTTTTGTGAAGGGGCGGGTTTTCTGGAAGCCGAAAATGCTGTATAAGACGCACCCAGATTTTCACCCGCTTTTTTGGAGGAAAAAGGTGTGTCTTATACTCCAAAAGATACAATAGTTACAAAACTATTAGATGCTATTTCCTAGTTGGTAAAATGACCCCCAAATTATCAATACTGATCTGTTTCCATGTTTGGGCATGATGGTGACTACACTTGTGGAAACAGGACGGCCTTCTCCATTCCATCTATAGAAAATGTCCTCATGAACATCCTCTCATTCTATCTACCAGGTTGATATTGCAAAAAAAAAAACCAAGAACACTGAAATGTATCTTGAAGAATCAGTAAATGCATCAGAACAGCCCCCTTCTCATTCGGCACTAACAAATGAAGCTCCTTGCCATCAAAGTAAGATTGATCGCTTCTCTGGCATTTCATATTCAGTGTTATGAATATGGAGTGAGGGAGGGGAGTATTCCCCAGGGGTGCCAACCTAGCTCCTCTGCCGTTTTCCTCTAGAGAACCATTGACGGTATGGCAATGGAAGCTTAGTGGAGAACTCTTCCTCTTCTGACTTCATCAACATTTACTTTCTCATTTCAGGGCTTGGCAGATGGAATTCTGTCTGCCATTCAGGATGGATGGCCTAGCTGCACCTCCTATTTGGATCCTCTCATCAGAGATCCCGAAATTGTTTTCAAAATTAAAATAAAAATACTCCAATTTTTATGGAGACTGAAACCTGTGATATATATTACTTAGGAATTTGCAGAGGGAAAAAAGAAGGGGGGGGGGACACAGTTTCAGAAATAAACACATACAAAAAAATAATAATCCCAAAACTGATTTTTTTCAATTTAGTCTGAAGTGGAACTGTCTAACCTGCCAAGAAGTGGAGTCTGCTTAAAGAATGAGAGGCTGGGTGAGACAATTTCCCTTTGTCTTTCACTCCTATCCCTTATCCATAACCTCATGGCTTTGGGGGGGGGGGTGAGTTACGAAGAGGTATCTTGCTAGGAAAATAGGATAACCGATCTATTCACGCTAAAATGGACAGTGGCACTCTTACCCGTTCTTTCATAGGATTAAGGGCTGCTTTCATATTTATCCAAGAGCAATTTGGCCATAATCGACAGATGTGTGAACACCATGTGGTAAACCACACAATATAAACATTCCGACTTCAAAATGCGATGATCTGGCATGCATTGCTGAGAGATGGGCAGGAGAGAGCGAGCAGGTTCTCATTTTGGTGTGCCAACTTTTTAAATGCAAAAAGCTGTCTAGACTTGATGGGAAGGGAGCAACTGTTGCATTCTTTCAGGATTCCATTTCCTTTTGATGAATTTTATATTCAGCGTTGGGGATCATATACCTGGTGGTGTGCTCTTGGGGAGAGGACACTTTGCTGACTTGTGGTTTTTGTGTCTCAAGTGCAGAGGTGGGATTCAGCCGGTTCTGACAGGTTCGCTTGAACCGATAATGGAAATCGTGGGTGTTCTTCCTTCTGGTTTCTCTGCACATGTGCGCAGTGGGAACAGGATCCCCCTATTCCTCTGCCTTGCTGATATCAGACTCTGGAGGCAGTACATAATTCCTAAATGGCCCTGACCTCCTCTCTTCTGCCAATGCAGAGCTCTCGTCTGAGCCTTCCCCAGACTCCAGGACTGGCCCATGTTCCTCCACAACCTGCTCACTGTCCGACTCTGCTGCCAGTTCTGCAGGTCACTGACAGACCACAACAGCTGTCTTCTGAAGATCATTGAAAATGCATCCTCTTGAGTGCTATATTTTCCAAAATGAAAGTAAGCTTCATCTTCACTTTGGATGAGGTGAACTGCCCCTGAGAGAATCTCTTCCCCTTCCTAGTGCTGCTTCCACAGCTTTTGTGGAGTGGAGAACTCTTCATAGTTCAGGTATAACAAAANTATCTATCTATCTATCTATCTATCTATCTATCTATCTATCTATCTATCTATCTATCTATCTATCTATCTATCATCTACCTACCTACCTACCTATTATCTATCTATCATCTATCTATCTCTTCTTTCTTTTTTCTTTCTTTCCTTTCTTTCCCTTCCTTGTTTCCTTCCTTTCCCTTCCTTCCTTCCAATCTTCCTCCCTCCCTCCCTCCCCCCTTCTTTCTTTTTCTGCTTTCCTCCTTTCTTTCCTCTTTTCCTTCTTTCCTTCCTCCTTGTTTCCTTCTTTCTTTCCTCCTTTCTTTCCTCCTTTCTCTCTTTCCTTCTCCCTCTCGCATTCCTCCCTTTCCCTTTCCTTTCTTCCCTTTCTTTCCCTCTCCCCTCCCCCTTTCTTGTCACTCTAAGCCCGTGGTGGCAAACCTATGGCATGCACGCCACAGATGCATGTTGAGCCATTTGTCAGAACATGCGAGGTGCTGCTCTGTCAGCTGGTCAACATGCCTTCTTTTGAGGCCATTTTTTGGAGCACAGAAAACTGGCCCTACAGGCAAACTGGAGGTCAGTTCCAGTTTGCTTGTAGGGCTGGTTTTAGCCCTCTGGTGCATTCAGGAGGCTTCCCTGGAGGCTCTGGAGGGCAAAAAAACAACCCTACAAGGAAACTGGAAGCTCATAGAGGAGCCAGAGGGGTGCAGAGTGGAACAACATCCATGCAGCTGGGAGCAGATATGGCAAGTGGGGCTCCCGCTAAAATCTCTTCCAGCCAGATGTGGATTTTGCCCTCCCTTCTATTGGGCCTGTTTTGGCAGGAGAAGCAGTTTAAGGTAGGTACTGATGAAAGAAATGTCCTTCTGGGTTCGGCTCCAAGTGGGGAAAAAGACACTGGAGACCCGGAGGCTACTTGGAAAAATGGTTTATTGTTGGGCAGGGCCACCTGGCTTGAGGCCTGAGCAGAAAAGGTGATCACATGCTTCAATATTGGTGGAGAAGAAGAGAAGGGCTG